TGAAATATAACACTGAAAGAATGAGATTAGTATTTTTTCCCAGTATTTATTTTTTAAAAATTCTAGATTTATATATTTTTTCACAAATGATAAATAAATACTGTTTGAACAATGCTACTGAAACTCAACTGGACAGAGAAAATTTTTTTGAGACATCCAAAGATTCAAGAGTTGAAGACATCAAGGTTAAAATACTTTGAGAAAGAGTAGTTGGGACTTCCAACTCACCTCGACATATCCAGGGTATCTGAGATATCAATGTTCAAGAAACCAAAGTTCAAAGTAAACCATACATGTATATAAAATGATATTTTTTGTAGGAAGTGTGGAGCTAACATTTTGAATGCTGTAGATAACTATGCAGTTTTATGTTTGGACATTGTGTGGTGTTACCTGTGTTTACAGAATGTAGAAGAACTGCCAGATGCAGGTACTTCAGAGAAAACTGATTCTTTACATGAGTCAGTGCAATCAACCACACACAATTACGACTTTTACAGTATTATTGCACAGGCGCTTGACGAGCAGTACTTATGCATTCAAAGAACAATAACTCCTCTTACACCAATCTTTCTTTTCAGACCAACGACTGAGGTCCAGTGAGGAATGCTTTATAAGAAGTTATGGAGCCAACTTAGAAAGAGTGGCTGCTGTCAAGGTTTGACTTTATTCTCCAGATAAAAGTTTACTTTGACAGTTAGAGATCTTGCTTTATTGTTTCTATTTCCTGTTGTCATTGTAGGGGGAGTCAGGAACACAGTTAGCTTTGTACATGAAACTACATCTTCTACAAGGCATCGTGGCTTTCCACCATCACAGGATAGCAGAGGCACACTCATTGCTTAGAAAGGTACAACTGATTCATGATCAAAAGGGGTGGTGGATGGGGATGTGAAAGATGTTTTTCATATTTAATTTAGAAAATTGCATAAAGAATGATACATCAATTTAAAAGAAAGAATTTTTTGAAAATGTTTAGTAAAGAATGATAACAAATTGATAAAATCTTTTATGATAGGCTGAAGAAGAACTGAACAGGCTTAAAGTTGATGAAAACAAACTTTCACAAGGTACTACTATTCACCAGTTTTTCCATAGTTTCGATGTTGTCGGTCTGTTATGTTATCGTAACTGCGTGATTTTACATACTTGGTATTTAAATTGATTTGGTTGTGTGAGTAAATATGAGTACTTTGTTTAGTTATGATGATGGGATTTGATGAACGAGAGGGTCGTCTTGGATTAAGAGCTACTAATGGAGACGTCACCAAAGCAATACAGCATATTATTGAAAAACGGAAGGTATTTTTCTTTACCTGAGTTGATAATTAAGAAAGTTTTTTTGTGTTCTTTTTTTTACAACAATTTCTGTTCAACACATTGAGTTTATAAAATTTGAATTTTCCAATGTTACTAGAATGTTGAACTGCTCAGTCTTGAATTACAGGTTGTGATGCAAATTGTCACCAAATAAAAACAGTTGTAATTTTTTATTTGAGCATATCAATTAGGATTGACTTGTCTGTACAAATTGCATGAAAACCAATATCTGCAATAAATTCTGTGAACAAAAAGCTTAAAACTAAGTACAGTTAATGAATATCTAGTACAATTTATTTCAATGTCTGTTGATTGATGTTCATTGCATTTTCTATCCTTTTGTGTTTTTCACACCTATACCAATGTACATTTTAGAGAGCAAATTGAGAATAAATCCACACTAATATCATGACTTTCCAATTTATTTTTGATATTTTAAATTCTGATGGACTTAAAAACTTAATATCCTAAAAATTTGAATGATGCCTTTTATCAATTTTAGGAAAATTTTGTGCTGAAAAAAATCTGAAGTATTCTCTGATTCTTACAAGAAATCTGAATATTTGTTAAATCAACCTTCATCATTTTAAAATCAATAGGAGAAAGAAGAGATTGAGAAGAAAGTTAAAGAGGAGCGAAGAATGAAGAAAATTCAGAAAGATTTGGGAGAAACAGCCTCAGGGAAAAGGTGAGCAGTGTTTCTCATGAGAGAGAGCATAAAATCTGGAAAAATATGAACAGGTTAAGTTGCTATTAAGAAGGAGTTAACAGAATGTTTACATTTTGATGATTTCAGGGTAAATGTATCCCTGTATGAAAACCTGGTCAGCATGGGGTATGGTAAAGGAGCTGCAGCAGCAGCACTCAGACAGACAGACAACGATCTGAACCAGGCCTTAGAGGTGAGAAAACAAAAGCTCATACTGAACTCAGACAGACAAACAGACAACAATCTGAACCAGGCCTAGAGGTGAGAAATATGTGTAATACTGACCTCAGACAGACAGAAAGACCATGACCTGTACCAGACTAAGAGGTGAGAAATATATATAATACTGACCTCAGACAAATCAACAGACCATGACCTGTACCAGACTTAGAGGTGAGAAATATTATTTTGTAATACCGACCTGAGACAAACAAACAGAAAATGACCTGTACCAGACTTAGAGGTGAGAAATATTTGTAATACCGACCTCAGACAGACAGACAATGACCTAAACCATGCCTTAGAGGTGAAAAATATATGTAATACCGACCTACATCAGACACACAGACAGACAATGGCCTGAACCACGCCTTAGAGATGAGAAATATATGTACATGTAAAACTGACCTCAGACAGACAGACAATGACCTGAACCATGCCTTAGAGGTGAGAAATACTGTAGACGTACATTTTTCCACGGGGTCTTAATTCCGTGAAATCTCAATATCTGTTTAATCCGCAGGTAGAAAATTACACGGATTTTCTAGATTGTCACTATATTTCTTATATTTATATTAAGTATGCTTGGACAAATTTCCATGGAAAATTTGTGACCGCGTACATAGTGTAAATTAAAACAACACGGAAAAAAAATACTTTTACAGTATATGTAATACTGACCTCAGACAGACAGACAAGGACCTGAACCATGCCTTAGAGGTAAGAAATATATGCAATACCGACCTACAACAGACAGACAGACAGACAACGACCTGAAGCAGGCCTTAGAGGTGAGAAATATGTCTTAAACTGATAGACAGACAGACAGACAACTACATTTGTACTTGAACCAGGCTTTAGAGGTGAGAAATATATGTACATGTAAAACTGATCTCAGATAGACAGACAATGATCTGAAGCAGGCTTTCGAGGTGAGAAATATGTCTTAGACTGACCATCTGTATAAGTGATTAATATGCTTTACAGTATGTCTCATTGTCGTTGAATAAATTCATCTGGAGATTGCCACTCATCATGAATTGAGCTCAAGCAGATAGGTTACCTCAAGACTACAGGAGATTTGCTTTAATGTTATTAATTTTCATTAATTTCTCCTCATCTGTAGGTTCTACAGTTACATCCTGAGCTTTTACATCTACCAGATCCAGAAAAGAAATCAATCCGCATCACAGACGACATGATTGCTCAGGTATATGTGTAAAAAACAAATTACAATGCTGCAAAAAAATTATAAATTATAGCAGCCAGTTTTTAGCTCACCTGAGCCGAAGGCTCAAGTGAGCTTTTCTGATCACAATGTGTCCGTCGTCCGTCCGTCTGTCCGTCCGTAAACTTTTCACATTTTCGACTTCTTCTCAAGAACCACTAGGCCAATTTTGACCAAACTTGGTACAAAGCATCCTTGGGTGAAGGGGAATTTAATAGCCATTCTCTGTAACCACTTGAACTTCGTTGCCACGCATGGTCACCGATTTTGATGAAACTTCACCCATGCATAGTACTTGACACCAGAAACAAATATCAAACAAAATTTCGTTGCTAAGTGTCTCGGTTGCTATGGCAACAGCCGGAAAAATTTGAAAAATCAAGATTTTCAGCCACTTTAAATCTTGACTGTGGCTAAATAAAAACTAGAAAAAGCAAACAAACCATTCTCACAAAAACATGACACCTTAATGTCACTTATACTGTAAAGAAAGTGTTTAGAATATATCTCTAAGTAAGTGGTATCCAAGGGTACATTTGGAATACATTTAAAATGCTGAAATATGCCGAAAAACACTCCGTATTCACTAATGGTTGGTGTTACATGCTCAAACTCAATCAACGACTTAAGAAAAACAATGAAAATGTTTGACCTTAAGTATATAAGTGTAAGCAATATTATTCTATAACTAACTTTTATGGTTGCCATGGTAACACAGTGTAACCATGCAAAACCAGTAACTAAGATTGGGTTAATGCTACTTTCTTGAGGAAAAACATAAAAATTCAAGACTGGCAAATATGCATCCTTAGGACCTTGCATCACCAAATACATGAGAAAAATTGGGTATAATTGCTACTTTGCAGTGTTACCATGGAAACAAAGTACCAGTGCTTAAAAGCGAATTATTTTTCGCTGCATTAAGAATTAAATTGCCATATAATCAAGAAACAAATTAAAGGACTCAGCTTGAATAGTACTTATCTGTTAGAACTGAAGTTGAATATCATATATTGATAAAATTTGATGAAGAATACAACACCGTTGCTATGGTTACCAAGAAGGGAAAATGTTCGATTTTGTGAACTTTATATCAATATTAAACCCTGTGTGCCAACTTCTTGCATCCACTTAGAGATTGGATGATAGTCAAAATTAAAAGTCAGGTTAGCTGTTAATAAATATCAATCATAAAAGTTTTGGGAATCTACATTTAAGGGTACGTATCCAAGGAAAGAAAATATTTTTCAGGTTTTTAAGCATATATTTTCTGACTATTTCCATAGCAACGCTCTATTTAAAGAATCTAATCTGATTTTTTTCAAATGGGAAAACAAGGAGCACATCAACATCTTTAAAAATTGATCATTAGTTATGGGGAAATGTGTTTTTTTAAAAGATAGGATCAGATTTAAAAATACAGAGTGTTACTTTGAAGGCTCTCTTTGGTATAAAAACCTTGGCAACCATTGCCAACCAATATGAAATATCATATTTTGTTCTTGGTATATGTTTCAAGGCTCTTTTTTCTATTATTTGGTCACATTTCATCCTATAATTGCTTTTTATTTTTACGTGTATGAATTTATAAAATTCAATGAATATTTTTTTTTTACTTTTGAATACTTTGTTACCATAGTAACGTATGTAATAGTTGATTTACCAAACATGTTTATCATGCATTTGAGACATCTGACCTTCAACTTTTGGAAACAGTCATTGCCAATTGTTTGCTTTGCCGCAAATGTTAACAATGGGGCTCTAAACATGTTAAAATATGCCATTTTTCGAACTTTAAGACATGTTGCCATGGTAACTATAAAGCATAGCAACCAATTTTTGCCTGATTTCAGTTTAGGGTATCAATGACTTTTATCATAGAGAGTTTGGAGAAATTCTGAGACTATGTGTGCCACAGCTCCTATATAAAATTTCAAATCATTACAGAGAATGGCTCTTAAATTGTTAAAATGAAGGGCCAAATCCCTTAACAAGGGGAGATAATCAAGAAAAGACAAAAATAGGGTGGGTTCATTAAAAAATCTTCTTCTCAAGAACCACTGGGCCAGAAAAGCTGAAACTTATATGGAAGCATCCTGGGGTAGTGTAGATTCTAAATTATTCAAATCATGACCCCCGGGGGTAGGGCGGGGCCACAATGGGGAATCCAAGTTTTACATAGAAATATATACGAAAAATCTTTAAAAATCTTCTTCTCAAGTACCACTGGGCCAGAAAAGCTGAAACGTATGTGGAAGGATCCTGGGGTAGTGTAGATTCTAAATTGTTCAAATCATGACCCCCAGGGGTAGGGCGGGGCCACAATGGGGAATCCAAGTTTTACATAGAAATATATAGGAAAAATCTTTAAAAATCTTCTTCTTAAGAACCACTGGGCCAGAAAAGCTGAAACATATGTGGAAGCATCCTGGGGAATTGTAGATTCTAAATTGTTCAAATCATGACCCCCGGGGTAGGACGGGGCCACAATTAGGAATCAAAGTTTTACATAGAAATATATAGAAAAAATCTTTGAAAATCTTCTTCTCAAGAACCACTGAGCCAGAAAAGCTGAAACTTATGTGCACATGGAAGGATCCTGGGGTAGTGTAGATTTCAAAATGTCTAAATTATGATCAGTGGGGTAGGGTGGGGATGCATTATGTATTACAAGGGGGAAATCTGGTAAAGAACAGAATGGTCAAAGCTTCTCAGGTGAGCGATGTGGCCCATGGGCCTCTTGTTTTTGTTTCCATTCATTAGTCATGGAAACATCCGTAAAAGGGAGTATCATTTACAAACTTAGAGGGAGAAAAAGTTTAAAAGAATAAAAATTAACACATCCTTATTTTGGTTTTTACAAATAAAACAAACATGGGGATTAAAGTATGACAATTAGAAAGTTTGGAAGAAATCCATAGAAATGGTGTAAAATTTATGTTTAGACTGATATTAAAATTTTTCCCACAGGTGGTGGCAATGGGATTTGACCCTGTTATGGCCAACAGAGCCTTACAGCTATTTAGTGGAAATGTACAGAAAGCCCTTGAGGAATTGATACAGAGAGGGGGTCTGTTACCTTCATCATCAGACGAGAGTTCCTCTAGCAGTTCAAGTAAGGCTTGAACATGGGATATCTAAATAAAAGTGTCTTATATTGCACATCATGTATATAGCAGTTTAGGTAAGGCTTGGATATGGGGTAATATATACATGTACCGTATCTACATGTATTAAAATCTTACATAGCACAGCCTCTATTAGCCCATATAAGTCTTGGACATGGGTATGTGCCAATATGGGCCCTTTCCCTGTATACACTGTAAAAATTGTATATGTAATTTTGAAAGTGCAGTGATTTGGATATTCCAAATCTGGAGAAATGAGCTATTACTCAGTTACTTGTATGATGATAGAAAAGTGAGAGTCTGGTATTTATGTACAGGTAGTTCCCCTGAATCTGAGGCTGGACCATCCCACAGGACTTCTGAGGAGGAGAGGAGGACCATAGAGGACCTCGTGTCTGACCTCCCGAAGGATGAGGAGGATTACCTGGACCTCACACTGCAGGAGGAGGCCCAGTACCTCGAGGAGTACCTAGCCAAAGTCCACAGTGTCATGTCTAACACATAAAGCCCAGTGCCTCAAGGAGCACCTAGCCAATGAGTCATGCCTTACAATAACTCTTTAGGATGTATTCTGCTGATTTAGCCTGGTTCCTTGGTCTTGATTTGTTTTGTTTACTCTGTGATACTAGGAACATATGGACTAATAATTAATTCAGGGTGTTTCTGTCCTGAATCTATTGCCCATTGCTACGCGGTATTGAGATGACAATTTGTAGACGTTCATTGTGACATCATATTTTTCTAAGCCATCAACGTAATCAGTTGTGACAATAATATTCATTTCCTCGGTTAATTGCAATAGCCCAAAAATCCACAATTTAACACAAATTTTGGTGACCAATCGGGAGACTGCTTCAATTTTAATATACCTGGCTCTCCTGTCTTGGCAAGGATGAGCTAAGTAAGCGGGCTAAATTTTAATCTACCTGGCTTTCCTGTCTTGGCAAGGATGAACTAGGTAAACTGGCTAAATTTTAATCTGCCCAGCTCTCCTGTCTTGGCAAGGATGAGCTAGGTAAGTGGGCTATCTGCTGATACTGCTGTGGTGACAGCCATTTTTACGGAACTCCTCTGGTTTTATCCATCAAACTATACATTTTTTTCCCACTAACCCTTTATTATCTAAAATTTTGAATCCTTGATATCATTAAAAAAAATATGAAGAAAAGTTTAATTCCAGATCATAACTTTTCAGAGAAGGAATTTTTTTTATTTTTTATGAAAAATTCCAAGAAGGCAAGTTATCTCAGCAGAATACATCCTTCATGTCTATTATAGAATGTGGTGTACATGATATTTGGAGGGATAACTGTTATAATTGTTCCAAGTGTATTTAAAATTTTAAACAGTGTTTTGTCTTTTGATACAAGAAAATGAATCTCTACAAAATTTGAGATGCAGGTTCTTTTGTATTTAGTAAAAAGTGCCTTGTGTAATTTTAAGAAGTCTTGATATGAAATTTATGTAAAATTATAAAATATCTACCTCTTATATTCTGATGTGAACTATATATAGTTACAAACATATTTTTGAGAAACACTTCATCCATTCTTGCTTTCAGTAACCTTACTGTAGATCACTTAATTTTCGCGACACCTTATTTTCGCGAGATAGTCATTGACTCTTGATTAGCAAGACAAAATTTTCACGAATTGTGGTTATTACTCTATATAATCATAAGGAATGCTATAATACGCGAGAATTAAATTTTCGCGAGCACACTGTCTCGCGTAATTACGCGAAAATAAAGTTCTCGCGAATAAATAGTGATTTACAGTATATACAGCCCAATTTGGTTCTTTTTGACATTATGATTACAATGAATTTTGGTGTGGCAGCTTTTGCCTTTTGGAGTACAGTGTATAAATTACAATATTTCATAAAAAATAAATTACTAAATATTTGTTCTTTTATTTCAAATCACATTTATTTTGCAGGACTTAAATTGTATTTGCAATACAATAAGACTGTATTTACAGTGAAGATTTTTTCTTCATATTTTCCTTATCATACAATTAACCATTGCTTCTGGGTATTGTCGAGAGCCATATAATTTTTCATCCATGTGATCACCTATACCAAGAAATAGCAGTGTGTCCTTGAAATGAATCAGAGAGTCCTTTTTAGCTCACCTGGGGCCCGTTTTACAAAAGGACTTACAACTTAAGACCAGATTTAGTTCTTTGTATAACTTTTTAATAAACAATGTATCGAAAATTATTTTAAACTTTTTAAAAGGAATGTGGTATGATACTTTTACACAAACTATTTCAAAGAGAAATATTAATTTTGCAAATATTACAACAATCTGAAGTTTTTGGTCTTAGTCGTAAGTTCTTTTGTAAAACGGGCCCCTGAGCTTTTCTGATCTCATTTTGTGCAGCTTCCATCTAGCTGTCTGTCCATCTGTCCATCTTTAAACTTTTAACATTTTTGACTTCTCCAGAACCACCAGGCCAATTTCAACCAAACTTTCCACAAAGCATCATTGGGTGAAGGGGATTCAAGATTGTTCAATGAAGAGCCATGCCCTCTTTTAAGGGGAGATAATCAAGAAATAGTGGGAATCTGGTACCATCTTTTAAAAATCTTCTCAAGAGCCACTGGGTCAGGGAAAATGAAACTAAAACTTAAGTTTGTTCAAGTCATGACCCCCAGGGGTAGAACAGGGCCACAATGAACTATCAAAGTTTTACATATGAAAATTAATACAGGACAAATCTTTAAAAATCTTCTTCTCATAAACAACAAAAACCATGGGTGGCCATATTTATATGGAAGCATCCTCAGGTAATGTAGAATCAAGTTTGTTCATATCATGACCCCAGGGGTGTAGTGGGGCCACAATAGACAAAGTTTTACATAGAAATATATAGGAAAAATCTTCTTCACAAGAACAACAAATTAAGCCATGATTGGTCATATATTTATATGGAAGCATCCTCTGGTAGTTTAGATTCAAATTTATTCAAAATGTGAAGCCTGGGGGAAGGATGGGGCAAAAATGTATACATGTATTGGTTAAAGGTCACAATAAGTCAAAGAAATAATATGTAAGCATTCTTGGTGAGTGTGTATTCAAGTTAATTCAAATCATACCCCCCCCCTTTTTTTAGAAGAATGTTGGGACCTTTTATGCATTTTAGATTTTTCAATAGTGGATTGATTTTTGGTTTTGTTTTTTTTTTTTGGCCACAGTGCTCATGTGAGCGATGTGACCCATGGGCCTCTTGTCAATCCCCTGACGGCAACGGTCGGACAAAATTAAATTCAGAAAGTCCCCCAAAAAATGTAACAATGGCACCATTAAGTGGAGCATCCCTCTTTCAAAAGGGTATATCTACAAATAAAGACAGTATTCGACACCAATTCCGGTGCAAATTACGTCACTTCCGTTACGCACATAAGGCCCAAATAACTCACCCGCACTGAGAAACACACAGACACACAAACTCCTTTGCGAGGGAATAATAAAAAAAAAACGAATGTGTGAAGTGCTACCCCGAGACTCTATGTTTAATTACGGTAGAAATGAGGTCTATATACTATATATATATGTTTCCTCTGCGGCTGTCCGTCCGTCTGTCGAATGCGGGTGGTTTCGCTCCCATTACGTGTTCGCGCCGAGTGGTTTCGCACCAATCACTTGTTCGCGCCGAGTGGATTCGCCCCGCATGTACATTATATATTAGCTTTGAAGTTTTAAAGAATTTCTATCTATATGAGTGCTTATAATGAAGAATATTATTCTATTTTCTAATTACTGATGTGTCTGTATGCAAACATTGATTGACTTAATTTGAAGTTTCTTCGTTCTACATAATTTAATACTGTAAATCAACTGAAAAACAATGACAGTCTTCATTGAAAAATCAACGCGATTTGTGAAATAAATATATATTTTTTAATATCCAGTCCTAAATTATTCCAAATTAGACGATCAAATCTGTTCAAATTGAAATAATCATAATTTGGCTAAAAATGGCCTCACTAAAAGTATAAATACAAAATGGGATAATTATCCCACATAACATGACATCAACCTTGGGGTTAATTAATTACAAGCTACCTGATAGGTAATCGGGGGGAAGCCATTCTGTATACTACCCATATCTTACCTGTAGTTAAATGGGGCGAAACCACTCGGCGCGATACCACTCGGCGCGAACACGTAATCGGCGCGAAACCACCCTACACCCGTCTGTCCCTCTGTCTGTCAGTCTAATTCAGTGCAGCACGAACCCGATCGTGAACCCAATGTTAAAAAAAAGTTTAGAATGCCATAATTCCGTCAAAAATCTACATTAGAAGCGAAACGAAATGAAAATTTGTGCTGTAACTTAGGCCTTTATTCACATACCGAAAATCAACTTAATTCTGCAAGCGTTTAAAAAAAAAAAGTGCGGAAAACTATGGGACAGCTAGACTGACAGACAGACGGGCGGATAGACTGATCAGAAGAAACCTACATAATATAGTTCCCACCGATTTCACCGGTGTTGCCTAGCTTCTAGTTTCATAATTTTTTTTTTTTACTTTTTTATTTTTATATTTTTATTTATGTCTTGCTTTTTTTTTTCTTTACAACTAAACCAAAAAAAGCATCATTCTTTTAAAAGTTTATATATTTATTTAAAAAAATAAGGAACGTTTTATTAATTAATTAGCTTGATTTTCGCAAAAATAAATAAATAAATAAAAATAAATTTGAAAAGTTTGAAAAAAAAAATACTTATGCTTCTAGCTACGCTGTGCGCTTTTACACATTGAAAACTCGCTCGCGTGCGTTTTACCTATGTATACTTATGTTATCGAAAATCTGATTGGTTGTTTATGTAGAGCGGGTCATGGAGTTAGCAGTTTTAGCGGGAGGGGTCTCTGTTATCAAAGGACATTAATTTCATCATTAAAAGACGGTGCAAAATTATTTTTATGATAAGAAATATAAGTTAATGTAATTCTCTAAGAAAAAACATAATTGAATACTGTTCAAGTACACTTTGTTGTGTTTATCTGAAACTCATTAATATTCATGAATATGCATAAACATTGGAGCCCATGATGCTTAGACTGTACTTCCATGTTGAATTTTTAACAAGTTTATACTACTACGTTTAGCGCTTTAAAAAAGTAAACACGACGTCGTTTAAGGGTATTTCGTGGTCACTTAATGGACACCTCGTCCATCATAACACAAGTAAATCGTGATGAAGAGCAACTCAATACATTTCCTCCATCGGAAAAAGGTAAGTTTCAGCTCTTCTTTCAAGTCGGACGTTTACTGTGGCGGAGCACCTGTGCCTCCGCCAGTAGAATGTAGTTGATGCACACAGATTATGGTGTACTGCAATGCTTATATGAAGAAAATCATTTCAACATATGTTTCTTATATTTGAATTTATTTATAAGTTGATATTTGATTAGAAATGGAAGTTTTTCGTATTGTTTATATATTTTAAAGGGTGAAGGTCACTTTTATGACCGACATGTTTACCATTAAGTTTTTGGCAACTTGGAGATTAATGGCCACAGTTAATTTTTGAATCTCGTTGTTTTTAATTTTACTTTTTTAATGCTTTACATGCATATTCCATAAAAATGTAACTTTCGTTTTTAACATGGGGTACACTTGACGTTGAACAAGTGCCCCGTTAATCTATTTTTAACATGACCCATATATACTGTAAACACAATGAACACTGCTTGACGATCGTGTAAGTAAAATTAGGTCATAGAACTTGAGACATAAAATGTTACCACCATATTTTGTCAGCTTAGATAAAAGTAAATTCAGTTGGTGCAGATATACTATCCTAGGACAGTTTCTAGTCATGAATGAAATGTTTATAATAAATAGGTAAACTGTGTAATGAAGTATTAAGTGGGCTTTATTATACAGTATTGAACTTGTATATCTTTTGTGTAAAACTGCCTCGTGATAATATTTATGGTGGTTTTACACTATAGGGTCTCCATTATTTTAAGGCATTAATTGTAAGGTTTAACTAAATACTTCAAATTTATGATTACAACATAAGAACTTACTTGCTTTGCATCACAATGAATTAAAATGTTGAACATTTACTTATTTTTTTTTAATCAGTTAGTGAAGGAATTAAATCATTGAAATGTCCAAATTTACCAGTAGGCATGTAATTGATTCACCCTTTTCATATCATTCATTAAGATTTATATGAAAAAAGATAGAATAAATTTTCTGTAGTTCAGTTCAAGGCCAGCTATCAGGATGTCTAATAGCAGTAGTATCAGAGAGCCTTCAAATAGGATGTTAAAGTTTAATTTAAATAAAAATAATTAAAAGGAAATCCACATTCAACTGTATGGCAATTAAATTTGCTCAGTGAATTTAAGACACAAATTTAAACAGTCAGAAAATAGTAAATTATTTACTTGAGTTTAGTAGATTCCTGCCCCCCCCCTTTTTTTTTTTATAATTCTCATTATTCTGTCTCGAACCTCTGACACATCTGAGAAAATTCTGGTATACACTAACAGTATTTATAGAAAGCAATCTATCAGATAGTAAATTGTTGTAAATCTCTGCATGGTAGCAAATATAAGAAGATTCTCCTAAGTTACTTTATTGTCTTGGTAACAATACTGATTGAACTATGAGTAAATGGCTGATAATTAGATCTACAAACTATTGATAGTAACTGATGTAGAA